GGGGTGTTAGGGGGGGGTATTGGAGGTTACGTACTCCAAAAATATATATATATATATGGTATATATTTATTTATTTATATTTGTCGGGTGCCGACCACCGCTGACTGGTAGGTGCCGACCAGCAGACCGATCAGCTGGTCAGCAGCTGACCAATCCAGGGGCGCCGACCATCGGCCTGTGCAACTCTGGTTGGCGCCACATCCTGAAGGCCCCTGTGCAAGTACAGGCTGCTCTTGGAGTAGGAAAAACAGTCCAAATGATTTCTGTACTGGTTCCATGTACAATTCTCTCAGGAATTGGGTTCCTCTAATAAGAGTCATTGCCTTCTAAATCAATAATAGCGATTTCATTTCGTAATCTGCACAGATATGGCTGAAAGTCTGACGTAGGTGTATACGATTACCAAAATCGTGCCTTTGTACTAGGCTCACCTCCATGTGGCTATCGCGGGATGAGATGTGAGAGACACACAGCAGTAATGTTTGTTTTTGAACATCTGTGATGAACATGGATGAGCCGCCATAGCTAGAGAAGAGGTGCAACCGGGAGGAGAGGAGTGAGGTTGGGGCTGAAAGGAACACTCAAACATGATTCCCGTTCATTCATTCATCTGCTGTCGAGAATCGAGATGAATTCATTATTTGAAGAGGCAGAGAAAGGGAGTAGAAGATGAGATGGACAAGAAAAGAGGGGCAAGATATCAATTTCAACTTGTGTAATTCTTCTTCCGTTATTCTCTTCATTTTATTCCGCTCCTTCTCTCTCTCCGGAGTCTCCGCTTCTTCTTTTCTCAGTTCAGCAAGTCTTTGCATTTCCACATGCTTAAGAGTTTGCATTATGCATGGAGTAGGATCATATAGCATCTGTATTGTCGTTTCCTTTCCATTTCAGACCTTTCATGTCAGAATTGTCTACTTTCGATACTCGTCATCGTTTCCTCCAGCTGTCTGCTGTCTGTCACCATGAAACACATCTTTACCTCATGGCCAAGCACCGTTGCGATTTCTTCATCCTTCTGGAAAGCCTTGAGTAACCCAGTGAAGACTACCACCTTTCCACCAGGAAGACAGAACGCATTCAGAGCGTCATTCTCAACAACTATCACCTCCCACTTCAGACCTTCAAGATGTTTCATTGACGACGACATCCCCTTGTGGTGGCTGCCTCGGCCATGATCTACCCACTCATCATCAAATTTGTCCTTCATTGGCTTATTGTACGGGTCCTGTCGGTCAGATCTATCTCTGCGGCTTGCACTACTACCATCACCATCGCCTCCAAATTCACCATTATCATCTTCACGCTGACGGAAAACGTCCAACACGCTGTCCAGCTCATTGGGTGCGGATTGCGTGCGTCCGTGGTAGTTAAAAATGTCGTCCACATCCATTCGACTGCTCTTTCCCTCTACCTCGCCCCAATCTTGAGCCCGTGTTCCTATCATTGCAGCTTGAATGATTTGTGTGGCAATGGCCTTCACACGTATTGTAAGGGGATGGAAATCAGGAAGGATATCCCTCCTAAACGTTTTCTTTATCTGCAATCAACAAGCAAAACAAACGACTATCCCACCGATACGTCAGTCGGCAATTCTTTCTTGCTGGGCCCCACCACTTATCCCCTTTCAGATGATTATAAGGCATCATATCCAAGGATATCCCTCCTAAACGTTTTCTTTATCTGCGATCAACAAGCAAAACAAACGACTATCGCACCGATATGTCAGTCGGCAATTCTTTCTTGCTGGGCCCCACCACTTATCCCCTTTCAGATGATTATATAAGGCATCATATCCTTCCAGATGATGTAATAACTCC